ACTGCAGCAAACACTGTAGCATGGAACCAGGGAACTTACCGCAGGCCCACTTTTGGAGGTAAGCCAAAAGTGACCATTGCCTTATTGTGGCGGTTACCCCACCTAACGCCCTCCCACTGCACCAAGAATATTAGTGTTCTTTTCGCAGGATGCCGGACACTCGGATCCCAGCACCCTCACCCAATACAGTAATGTGATTCGACTCGGTCAACCGTTGGCACGATATATGTTCATATCGGGGAGGTGGTAAAATGCGATATAAACACATATTCTCTAAGCGCCAGCAGGTCATAACAAGATAGTGGCAAAAAAAAAATGATATTCTATTCTGTAACCGTCCAACCACACAACTGCTTATCCCCCCGCGAGGGCGCTGCTAACGTTAGAACACTCTCCTAACGGGCAAGACCCTCCAGATGTTCCGCAAAACACTGATCAGCCACGGCGTTAAAACGTTGAAATAAACAAAACCAAACAAAATTGCCCCAGCAGCAGCAGGCAGCTGATTCAGCCCCAGTATGCGATGGGAGGTAGACACGTACCACACGATAGAGGAGATAATACCACCTGCATAATTCTAAAGAAAGAAAATACTCGGAAACAGGGAGTAGCGCCGAAGGGAAGACTCCCTGAGGTGTCAATTATCGACGGGTGCGTGGCGTCGAGAAACAATCGACAGTCGGACCTTGCCATATCCCCCAACACAACCAAGCCCACCGGCGCGGAGGAAAAACCTGCTGAAGTGAAGGGCTATCTACTCCCCCCCCCCTTCCGAACCTCGAACAGTAAAGCCGTATTGTGCGGGTCCTACAAATTTGCTTTCTACCATACCAGAGGGCTTAGCTAACATAAACAGCCAGATTACCCTCTGGGTACGGAACGCGGCTGTACCGTTTGGGATTCCCTTTTACCTTCCCGGGGCTCAAGCTAGCTAGCTAGCTGGAGTAGTAAACAAATAGCATAGCATAGCCCGGACCTCCATGTGGCTGAGCGCTCGAGTGATGTCTCGTGTCCTCCACGTGACTTTCCATGCCAAACCCCATCCTATTATCACGCTACAAAATAAAAACTAAAAATAAAATAAAATCAAGAACAGGCTTTCGTTTAAAAATTCCATTCAATTTCTATTGAAAACAATCCAATTTCTTTTGAAAACAATCAAACAAAAAAAAAAAAAACAACAACAGGAGTCAATGGAGATCTGCTCCTTAAGTTACCAAAGAAACCGGTCCGAAGCTATGGAAACTAACAAGGGAACCTAAAGCAAGGAGATGCATACAAGCAGGCGCATGCAGACATACACACAACGCACGGCAGATTTCCCGGCGGAGTGGGGGCGGGGGAGCGAGACCTGTGAGGCTCCTCAAATGATTTACGGTGGGTCCCGCCCTACATGAAGCAAGGGGAGCCTTGCAGGTCACCTGAACTGTTGCGCTGAATAGACGCAAGAACAAATAAGCGCGGTTGGAGGGGGGGCAAATGCTCGTATAACAAATGAGATTGAGGGAGGTGGTGGTGGGGGAAGCTACGATAGTCTGCGTTAATTGTAAACTAACGTAGATCTCACAGGCAACCAACGAATAAACGAACTAGCAAGAAGCTGGTAGGGTCTGGTTCATTGCCGCAGTAATGTATTGTGTGCTGATGTGTAAGGCTTCCGATACATAAGGTTATTTCGCGATGGGCCGTTTCCAGGAGGCGCCGTCGCATAGGACGTTCCAATTTGCTTCTTAATGCTATGATACCCCATCTTGTTGAGACGTGTGCTCCAGGATTTCGAGACCTTACCTATCCAAGTGCATCTGCCTTAGATCTCATGATTGTTGGTGGCGGTTGTTTTTCGGGTGTCTGACAACCCCCGGGGATGAACCTTGGATGTCTGAGTATCGTACTCGAGTACCCCATACCTACAATTAAACACCCCAATTCCCCACACTTTGACGCTTTAACGCAAGATCTAGATCATCCCTGAAATCTGCAAACTAAACTGATCACCCTCGAGTGAAAAGCTTAAGGAGATTGAGGGTTGTGGCTGGAATGCTGGATTAGATTACAGTGTCTAGCTGCTGTTATCAAGCATTAATTTTCGAAACAAGCCACATGATATCGGAGAGTACCTTGCAAATTTTGATAAGGTTTAACTCCCTATTCAAAAGTGCTGAGTTGAGCCCTCGGTAATCACTAAACGAAACCAAATGTAATATTTATGTAGCATCCAAACATTCAAGCTGAAGCATGAAGTTATAGAGCTGAGACATAGCATTCAGGAGTGTTCCCGGACCCAGGCTTCCACCCTCCAATCGCTTACCAAGCCGGCATTCACAGTAACTGTATGCGAGGTGAAGCACAAATGCTTTTAAATGAGGGGCTATGCAGTTATAAGACTTTGTGGGATAAAAGATTGTTAAAACCATAACAAACTGGAATAGAAATTAATATCCTATCGAGAAATAAGCAAACAAACAAAGTTCAGAAAAAGAAAAAGGAAAGAGATCAGAAACACATTATACGAGTACAAACGCAAACCACTACATTAGTGCAGGGCCACAGCGTAGGAGGGAGGCTGATTACAGCAGCTTTTCGTGGGTCTAAAACACCGATACCACCAGAGATAGACGTAGGTGGACAAATTCAGATGGAGCAAGGGACCCGCAGAATGCCGAGTGATAAGTAATGACATCCACTCCCAGTCAGTCGAGAGTCTCACAATCTTAAGGCCCCAAATACTAGGGAATTTGCTCACCTAGAACAATCAATACACCGCCGAGGAAATTTTTAAGTTTTTTTTTGTCCAAGAAGCCCAATTATCAACCACCTATGTTAAAGGGATCAATATAACAAGGAAATTCCATCTTCCATCCCCTGAATCGCGTCAAGTCCCGGTAGGTGGCTTTGCCTGTTGTGATTACGATCTGTGGCTGTAAAAACCCTACCCGTTTAAGGAGTCTGTTCCCCATTTCGCGAATGTTGATTCCCTTATTGTAATAGCACGAGCGTGGAATGTACTGCGCACTCTCTCAGTCCAAATTCTGTCACACACGAGATGGAGCTTAGCTGGCTTGTGACCTGTTGTATAGCCCTACCGGTATGTCATCACCCAGTTTCGATGGTCAGCTCCCCGCTACCACATTTCCATAGAAGGCCACACTAAAAGCTAACAATAAAAATTCCCGCAACGGAATCAGACTACAGGAGAGATACTTACCTGGATGGGAGTTTGATGGCCAAACAATATGGGTGCTATTACCTCGGTTCTTTTGTCTCTACCAGTGTCCCTTGATTGTACCACACTAGAACTTGGGCATAAGGGCTGATGTGCCGGTAGGCGTCTTCCGGTGAGCCTCCCTCGAGTACTCCTGAGGACTTTCCAGAACACAATACCTCGGTGGCGCCATAATGCAAATACAGTACTCTCCCCCCTCCATTACCAACCTTGATAACGACGGAATGTGTGTACTGTAGTAACTTGTAAGCGCTGAACAAGAAAAGAAAAAAAAAAAGAGGGTGGTGGCCAAAGCCGCTTCTTTGGTAATTGCTGGAGACCCCCAAACTCTACAACCTCTGGCGTGGGGAAGAGGTAGCACCCGGAAGGTTGTGTTGTGCCAACCCCGCTTACCATACCCCCTGGTCTATGATTTTTGAGGCTCGGTGATGCCGACCCGAGAGGATTTAGAACCACCGCGCTATGGCTTCTTCCACATGGAATTTGGGGAAAACACGGAAGGAGGATCGGTGGACCGAGCACTATTGGCACCAATAGCTTATCCGTTTTAGACACACTTTCTGGACAGTTGTTTTTTGTGCTCAAGTTCTAATTCAATACCTTTTTTTCCAATTTCATGCAAACGCTGTACAGACCCGTGAACCACCGATCCAAGAAAGACTCGTCGGCTAGAATTCAACAAGCGTCCCGTCTTCGGCGATTGGTATGGGTGGGGTTCACTGGGGATGGAGCATGCAGTAAATTAGATCGAGGTGAGTTTTGATTCAGGGCTCACATGGCACCAGCCATCATGCTGGATATGATAGCCGAAGTAGGCGAAAAAAGGCGCGGTTCGTCTCGCGAGAGATCCCACAACACAGCTCCGCTCCGATGGAAACAACTACCGTAAGAGGCCGGCAGGGAAGCGATCCCTCCCGCTTATCATATGTAGAAAGGAGGCTCAAGGTAGCCTCAAGAAACCCCTAAAATTTAAGCGGTTCCACGGCACCATCCGCTTCCGTTACTCTCCGTCCGAGGGAGAACACACAAACTCGCAAGGTTTGGTGCGACTGGGCGCAAGTGGAGGAGTGGAATAAAACAGTAACTCCTCCCCTGTCCGATACAATCGCAGCCCCATCGAGATATTCATATCATATGATTCTACGAGCTCGGCAGTTCCTGTGTGAGACCCCGCAGTCAGGAATGGTATGTGTATTCGAGAGGTGACGAAGTTGACAAAGGTAATCTAGCCAGACTACCAAGAAGGAAAAAAAAATTGATATGAGACGAAAGGAATGGCCTGATTTCTAGGTGTGTATTAACGGAAAAACAAAGCAATTTATCGGGTTACCCTTAACGCGCTAGATAGCCGACGCATATCAACAATATCACCCTGGAAACCAGTACGATATGGGAAGGTGGAAGGGTGATTGCCAGCCGGGGAAAGTGGCCCGTAAGCGCATATAGCGCTAGACGCGTGTAACCTGAAGGGGTCAAAAGCCTCGCGCCGAAGATAGCAGGAATAATTTTCCTGAATATGATTCTGGATGTTAGTGGTTGTGCGTGTACACATCTGCAACGAAAGCATGCCCCAGGCTGTGCGCATGCGGTATGTACCACACATTGCACCAACCCAACAACCCCACACCCTCCCAGCCCCCCCCCCCACCTCTTCGCCAAAGCAGTTTCAGCAAAAACACTCTCCGCTGTGGAAGCCAAAGCGTCATGCCAGCGTAAGCAGACTGGGGTTCTCTTTCTTTTTTTTTGTGTCTTTTTTTTTTTGCTTTTCCCTCCTTTCATCCCCACGAACTTTGAGCTTGGCCCGCCGCTTTCCCTTTCTCTTCCTACACACTCTATCTAGACGTCCTATCCTACCCTTCCTCCACCTTCAGCTGCGCCACCTACCGTGTTTTTATCTCTGAAAGCTCTCACAATAACAGGATGCCTGACAGAAGGCCGTTGTCGTTGCACGAGGGACGCCCGACAACACCGATGACACCGATGACACCCACAGTGGTGAAAGACGACATGAATTTCCTTGAACTGTGTGAGACGTTCAGGAATTACTGTAAGTGCCGAACTATTTCTAACAGCATCGCATGTTCCCCCCTTGCTACATATCCCACTTATGCCACTGCGAGCTGCTTTACTGACAATTCACGGAATTTATTTTTCCCGGCGCAAAATAATTAGTCGTTGAGCACATCGGGACCCCGCAGAATATGAGCACTTTGAAACTATCCCCAGTGATGACCCGTCTCTGCAACCAACTATCCGAACGGGGTACAGCTACCTATCTGTGGCTCTCTTCCGCAACCAATTTTTTGTCGTAGAGATTCACATTATTCACTTATTTATTACCTTCATTACATTTTATACTGACGTGCTCGAAATTTTTGCATGCAGGTCACAATCCGGCTACGGTCGCGGCCTTGCTGTGAGCGAATTTTTTTCAATTTGATTCCCACATCCCGTCCTGAAAGCTAAACCTTAATCGCGAGCCTACCCGAGAACTTCCAAGCACACACCGTTTTCTTGTTTCTACCCGTCTTGCATTTTTGTTTACCCATCGTTGCTTTTTCTAACCGATTGAAATTCGCCCTTATCTGATTCTGATTCTATTTTCTGCGAGTAGTTGGTGCAAAGCTCATTTTGACGCCGAAGATGATGATTCTGGTGGACATGGCTTGGGCAGTAGCAGGGGTTTGGCTTGCGAGTTTGTAGCCTCTGATTTGTTGACATCCCTCTCCGCAAACGAGGCTCTTGATTACCTGTGCTATGAACTGCCATTGGTGGGAAATGAAGATCATGACGGTGGGAATAACTGTGCAGGAGATGAAACAGCTGGACTGTTAGGTGGTCGTGACGGTCGCAATGCTCCCTCTCCTGACCTCGAAGCCGATAGCATCGCCTCATATGCAGGGTTAAACACCCTAGAAATTGCTATTCTGGCAGATGCAAAGAAGTTTATCTCGCATCCACCGGTGCGTTTTACCCCGGGCCCCCTCCCACCAGGCCACCTAGAGTACCGTACCTTGGGTTAATAGTTTTTTTTTTTAGGTAGAGCGTGTGATAAACGGGATGTAGGTTTTCTGGCAGCATAAGGATAGCAGCTGCAGTGCTAATGATGGAATGATAGCTGGGAGGGAAGGATCTCCTTCTGGAAGACGCTTGATGTTGATGGCTCCAAGAAGCCTCACTTCTACAACAAGAGGTAATCAATATGGCTGCTTCTCTGCCCCGTTGATTGTCTGACAATCCTCAAAATACGTAGGAAGGCAGATCCATTCTGTAGACTTAGGGTGCCCAAGTACCAAAAAGCCTTCGAGGCATTCTTCTTTGCCGTATTTCTTGCACTGTATTACGGCGTGCTGATACAGAGAGACCCCTACCATATCACTGGACTAGAGGCAGCATTGATTGTGTTCTTCGTCGCATTCGCCGTTGATGAAATTTCCTCCGTTAGAGATGCCGGGACAGCTTTCTACACGGCTGACTTTTGGAGCCTGTGGGACGTTTGCATTATCATTATTGGAATAGCGTTCCTAATCTGGAGTAAGTGGAGGGGTTTCACTCATTTCAAATATCTGGGTAATTGATGCTGATATCCCGCAGGAATTGTCGGGATAGTCAAGGATAACGATGAAATTGTTGACACAGCTTTCGATATTCTCTCACTTGAGGCGCTGCTTTTGATACCTCGGTATGTAGAAAACCGAAATATCTACTACTAAATGAATGAAAACAGTATGGGGATTTTTAACCCATTCTACCACAGTGTTTGCTCGTTACTTTCGATCAACCCGTATTTTGGTATGCAGCTCCCTATCTGCCGATTTCGGGTTGAGCTCTTTCGCTTTCAACCCCAAGCGCTTACTAGTCTAACAAACCCTTTGTAGGTGTCTTGATACCCTGCCTAAAGCAAATGACAAAAGATTTCCTCAAGTTCGTGATTTTGGTAAGATAAGGCGGCTCTGCTATTTGAAACATCTTATTACTTTAACATTAATAAAACCCTCCTGAGGTTTGGGTGCATTCGCTAATACATCAGTCGTCGGGCTCAGGTTGTGATTCTCTATCTCGGCAAGTAGTATCAGATGCCTTTGCGGTCTCTCGTTTGATCCGCCTCGCTAATAATTTTGTTCAGGCTTCTTAACCACGTTCTCTCTTCTGGCCAGGGAATCTTTTAAACTTTCCGAGATGTCCTGGATGTTGATTAAAGGTTAGACTTGTTCTCTGCAAATAACTGTTTGCTGTAAATAAACACGCTGACCAATCTCCTGTAGTCTTCTTTGGCTCGGTAAGCGCTACCCCGATAGGGGCGTTGACCGAGATTAATGCTTTAGTGCTGATCACTCGTCTACTGATCCGATTAGAGCTCAGTTGGATTTGTGAGTGGGAAACTATTGAATCCCCCCAAGCCCGTTCCAGATCTAATCAATCATCTAACCTGCAAAAACTGGATTTACAGGACGCGATGAGGGAGGTACGGATTAGAATATCAGAATTCAATGGGCCTCGCGTCTGCTGTGCCGCAAACCATACTAACACACGCGCGGCAGATATCTCCTGTTTTGGGCCCTCCATTAATGGTCCGTATAGCACAGCAGTAATAAGTCTATTCTGCAGCAAGTCTTGCCTCAACCGCTTGACTCTAGAAGCTAATACGTGCGGGGAAGCTATAGCTAATTTTCGTCACATTGACAAATATCCTATTGATCACATCTCTCATAAGCTTGCTATCAAATAGCTTAACAAATGTGAGAGCATGATTCCTCCCTCCTTCGGCACTCTGGAGTAAACACTCACTAACAGCCGACAGATGATGAATAATGCCCGGTACTGCTTCTGCATTCCTTTTGTATTCGCCTTTTCTTTACTTTTTTTTCTTTCCTTCTTTTACGAGGGTTAACAAATCTGCGTGTGTGGTATCACAGAGAGGAATATCTGTTCATGTGAGATAACCGCTATCGAAGGCTTCAGCGATTGTCGCTCGGCTTACAAAGCGTTTGATTGGCGCGTTAGGTTTTCAATTACGGTAATGGAAGCCGCAACTAGCAACAGGCTCGTTGTTTTTTATCCTCCAATGGTAGTCACGCCAGCCTCCCCTTTCAAAAATCAAGTTCAGATTATAACGGCTGCCCCCTACAGAACCTGCTTTCGCTCATTTTATTACGCCCACTGAGACTTGTCCTATCGGCTAGCAGGATGCGAAAATGGAGGATTGCGCTCCTGAAATTCTCACACTTTCCATTCGTTGGTTTTCCCCGCTCTCCTTATTTGTCTCTTTTAGGCCCTTTAAACGCGCAAACCGTTCCGTTACCCTGGAAAAAACTAAACATAGCTCCAGGTCGCGGCAATTATGGCCTACGAGAGCCTCTGGCCAGATAACCAAATGCGGTACAACGGAACTGCATGGGGCCAGGGCGCTGGTTCCAAACGGATGTCTATGAGAGAAGGGTTGAAATTGTTTGGTCGACGATCCGACCGGTTCCAGGAATGGTCAGGGCGCTTAGGTGGTAGTAGGCTGGGGTTAGGCGGGGCTGGCAACCAGGTTGGTCCCCAATCTGGTCCAGCGTTCATCAGTTCCGCGAGCAGTGTGCGTATGGATTTCGACGGGGAAAGTGCGTCAAACCTGAGGGCTTATGCCAACCAGATTGACGAGCACGGGCATGAGCTACATCGGATGAGGACCACTATCGAGCAGTTGAGCCGCAAGCTAGATGAGATTCTTTCTCAGAAGAGTGCGTAAAGGCTGGAGCTCAAGGGTTGATTGTCATTCCATTTTGGTGAAGTCGTTGTACTGTACCAAATTAAAATATTATTGATTTTGATCAAGAGTTATGCCCAGAGTAAGGCATGTGCCGCAGTATGCATCAACTTGTAGTGGCTAAATCGGAGCATTCACGCTCGCATAGCTTCGTCTATCATACCGGTACTCGTCCGTGAGGGTTGCGTTGGCGCTGGCGCAAGAGGCACACCGCGTAGGGTAGAGTACAGCACTTTCCAAGCCCTTCCAAATCGCTGCAGGGCAACGCTTGGATTTCTTGGAGCCACCAAACTACTTTCGCAATCAAAGCCTACGGCGCGTCTGACCGTTTGCCCGCCAGCCATACGGTAGGTGGATATTTGCGGGGCCTCCCACCACTCCCTCCATCCCACCCACACACCCACACACCCACCACTCAAGGCTAGGATGACAGACACTCCGCATCTGAGCACAACCCGAGTACTCGTACACTACCGTAGGGGCTCTCGGTGAGCCATTACTCGTACATCCTTGACTTATTTCACCAGTATTGAGATGGTTCTTGGTGGCTATACCCACTGCAAAATCTTTTGATGTGCACTCCCCACATTCCTTTTAAACTAGCCAATCGCAGCCCCCCATTCTCTGATCTCGCCCATTGGGCCCCCGAGGCCTTAAATCACGGAGATCCCCAGCAACTTTTCGAGCTTCTCTACCTCTTCCATAGAACAAAGCAACTTTCGCGGCCCTCGACCGGTAAGGACTTATAACTGATCCGGTGAACAACCTCCTCCAACCTCGTTACCCAGGAGCAGTATCCCAGACACAGAACCAGAAACCCAGAAGCCAAATTATACTTTAATCCCAACTCTCCCGCGAAAAAATAATAATAATAATACATACACATGAGCCCTTCCCACATTCGAGTTCCATCCCCCCCAACATCCTCCTTTCACGAATCAATGTCGACTCCAGGACACAGAGACTCCCAGGTATATATGACACCCCAGCAAAGCCCGGCTTTAGGTTTTGGCACACCACCAATGTCGCATGACAATACCTGGGGGCGGAACACCAGAGAATCAACACGCTCCTCAAGAAGGGTTCACTCCGTCTCTCCGGCCCTTGGACACCGCCAGCTCCACGACCATTCCCACGCTAGATCCCATCACCAACACCAACACCACCACCAACACCACTCCTTGCCATCCCCGCCGCAACAGGAGCACTCATTCACCACGATTCCCTCCGAGTTCCACGACCGTGCACACCCCCCCCTCTCCCCCCCCGGCTTCGGACGGCCTCATGTCGCCCATGAACCATACTCACGACTTCCAGGACAAGATTCCCATGGACCCCAATCTCCCGACAGTGTGGATGTCGAACGCCTTTGGCATGAAGACGGACAGTGACGATATGTCTCTATCCGTGCAGGACCATTCTGTCTCTGCCTCGCCGCCGCCGCTCTTCATTGAGGACATCCTTCGCGCCGAGGACGGCCACGGCATGCAGGGAATGGGGAATGGATTCATGGACGAGCACGATTTTCAGGAGCACGGCTTGAGCGGACCATCTTCCATGAAGCGATCTCGGGATGACCTTTCTTCTGTTGTTGGATTGGGAGGTCCATTCCATTCGGGTGCGGCAGGCACCCCCGGCGTCAACAGGGTCCGCAAGAAGCGCCATTTGACCGAGCCCAGCGAGGCCAATTTTCACTGCACCAAGTGCGGGAAATACTTTTCTAGGATCTGGAACTACAACGCGCACTTGGAGACCCACGACCCTCACCGACCCAGACCTCACGTTTGCCTTGTCGACGATTGCAAGAAGGCCTTTGTGAGACGAACCGACCTGACCAGACATCAGCAATGTGTGAGTGGTCCCACCTCTCGGAATCATTGGCCCGCTTCAATTCACTAACACGAGCTTTCAGGTACATGCTAAGGATAAGAAATTCCGCTGCGAGCTTTGCAACAACATGTTTGCTCGCAAGGACACTCTCAGGAGGTAAGTTCTACTCTTTTTTTCTTTTCCCCCCTCCATTCTTCGCGGACATTGCGGTAGACTTATAACATACCTCCATCCAGACATGAAGATGATGGTTGTCCAAAGCGCGTCGATATAGCATCCAGAGGGTCAAAGAACAAGCCCATCGTCTGGAACTCGCAAGCGCTCGGTTTCTACAGCACAATGCAGCGCCGCGACGAAGTATTCCCAAACATGACTACGTACGACCCCCCAATGCGACCAAATCACTACGATAATGGAATGTCCTCTCATCTCCCCCCCCTCTCGGACATCGTACCAAAGACCCAGCCATCACTCCTGTGGGACTGAACAGCCCCTCGCTCCAAAACCACTATTTCTTGTACAATCTTCTTTATTTCTCCTTTTTAACGGTGCCTTGAAGTGTTACAAAGGGTATTTATTTAGAGGCGCAATCTCGTTGTTCATTTTGGCCTGGGTATTTTTCTCATTGCTCCGACCATTCCTTTCCTTCCTCGCTCACATTCTCTTCCTTCCTTCCTTTCCTCATTCTTATTTCTTCCCTCTTTTCTTTCCTCATTATTCCCTTCGTCACAGTCCATGCGGTAAAGGGAAAGGAAAAACGGGGTTGGCTGGCTTTTTGTTTTACTGGCTTTAAACGACTAGTTCAGTCGTGGTGAGCAATGTCCTGCATGTGCATATTGCCGAGCACAATATTCCACACCATTTATTTAGGGATATGGAGTTCTTGAGATAACAAGTGCGATGCGTTTACCGGTATCAAAATCGTTTTCCACCTCGGAGGCTCCCCCCCCAATTTTGGGCGGGAAAAGCCCCCGTCGTGCTGTAACTCCGTACCTTGCTGCCCTTCGCCGCTAGAGTACAGTTCTCCCGAACGGATCGTAGGGCCTTCGGATCGACAACGTTAACCAAACACACAACGCAGCAGCCCGTCCTTCCCTGCGCACAACCAAACCCCAACACCTGCCAACTAATTTTCTTTTCTTTTCTTTTCCTCCCTCTCGCTCCTCCCCTCCACCGCGTCCATCCAGCCTGCGGCGAGGTGACGACGAAAGGCGTAGATACTTGGCGCTTAGAGGAAACTCGCAAACTATAGCGCTTAACGCCGGCAAAAAAGCAAAGAAGGGGAAAAAATGTTCGCCGTTTGTGATAGAACCGCAATCAAATCGGATTAATATAAACGTATAGTACAAGTACTACCGGTATACGAGCGAAAAGTACGAGTAGTTTTCCGAACAAGGAGTTAGCCGAGAGAGAAAAAAAAAAAAAAAAGGTAATGTCCTCCCCACCCATCACCCTCAGAAAATCGGCGGAGGCATCATCAGCAGCAGCATTAGGATGAAAAATGAAAATATGACTCGAAACCCTGAAGCCTGACCGAAAGCCCGCTATGGGAGGAAAGTATGAAGGGGGTGATGCAGTACGCAGCGGTCCAGCTTGGGAAGGGAAAACACAAGCGCAATTACAAAGAAATGCCAATTTGCTGACTCGAGCGCAGCAGGTGTGCTTCTGTATGTACCGCAGTTTGGACCTACGGTAGTTGCCCCGGATGGCCACTGTACCAAACTTGCTTTGACTTACCACGGGTCCAGTTTCGCGGTGCTGAACCTGCTGCACCACCCGTTTTTCTCTCTCCATCTCCGAGTTACCGCACAGTTGTGTACGAGCAAAAGAGCCGTGGCCAGGCGGTGGGGGAGGATAAAAGAAAATGGGGAAGGAAGAAAAAACCCCATGACAGGGGTTCGGTTGGGTGGGGCGCTGTTGGGTTGGATTGGATTGGGCTTCTTGGAGCCCGTTTTTGGGAAACTGGTGTGGGATTGGTAAGGGGCTGATCAATTATCCTTGTCTATAGCATTCCCACTCCCTTCGACTAATGGCGGGTACAGTTTTACGAAGTTGCGGTGGGCACGAAGTGAAGGAGCAAGACAATAGACGAGAAATAATGTGAGAAAAATAATGTGAGGCAGGAATGGTTCTCCCCCCCCCTCTTTCTCTTTCCTGCCCCTGCCCTCGCTCGCCTTACACCCTCCGTTCGTCTCTTGTTATTAGACGAGTGAGATTTGCTGTATGGTATCAGTTACTATACCTATCGAGATATGCATCGAGGGTCGAGGGTGGTACAGGGCGATGCCTTGATCGTGATTTGTATTCTGGATCTCCAATGGCAGTCTGGGTGGGGTGGGTAAATTTGGTTGAAGTCTTCAACCCCTTCTTTCAGCTAGGGTGGAGGGGAGCACGGTACAAAGCTTGTATTGGCAATTTGACATATCATACCGGTACTGCAGATTGAAGGCGGGAAAACTTTAAATTCCTCGAATATGCCTTGGTACGGAATAAAAACGAATTCAAAACTAAGCTGGATAGTATTGGCTTCTGGATGAGCGTATTATATCGACCCGGAAGCGCTGATGATAACTAGGAGGTAATTGGGTCATATCTCTTAAGATTATCAGGCCTGGTATCATATGTAACTACCATACCGGGTAGCCGGGGTCGTCTATCATGAGTGGGAGGAGACTTCGGAGAGATATTGACAGCTAGAGTGCCATGTCCAGCTAGGCATGTTCCCCTCCCCTCCCCCTTCCTCCAGTAAGGAAACAAGTTGCAATTCGAATATCGAGCCGGTACCGGCGAGATGTCAGGCGGCTCTCTGGACTACCAAACAAGGGTCTGATTCTCGCTCACGAATCCGATTGAGGACTACAGAGGTCGTGACACTCAAAGCTCTCCTGACTTATCCGTTTGCTGCTAGCTCCATTTCTCACCGCGAGCCTGTCGAGAGGGACAACGGGGGTAATCATCGGCATTCCGCGGCCCCCGACCCGGAGTGTTATGATATAACCTGAGTTTGCAACGAGAAGTCAAGTGCCGAACCGTACTGTGGGCTGCCCTTCAGCCTTACCATGTAGTGTGTGATGATAGCAGACGGCGGTAGCTTACTACCGGTAAAAAATATTTCTTCTGGTGTCCTTTTCCTTATGCTCGACACCATTTGCTTTTTGCTAGAAGGGACCGGGCCGGGAATCCGATTCATTATTTTGTTTTTCGCAAACGATTGCGGCGGTACTTGGCGAGTTACTATCTTTACCGTACTGTACAAGTACAAGTACAAGTATATTTGAGGCGGCCCGGCCCCAGGATCGGGTCCGACGCCAAAAGTCTCAAAATCTTTCGCACCACCACACGGAAAAAGCTTCTTGGGGGGGGGGCTTTTTTTCCCTTTTCTCCCTTCGAATGGTTTCCCCCCCCAGCTATCATACTGTATCTTCCTCTCCCTGCTCTATGATTCTTTATCGTCGCGGACCAAGTGATGGAGGATAATCAGAAAAGGGAGCAAGGCCATCCTGCATTTTAAGCCTCGGTTCAGGAATCCTTGCGCCTTATCATAGGGCAGGGGAGTTTGGAATGTGTGGTCCCTGCTTTCGCTAGGACCCTACATGCCACAAGAGTTTTGAGGGCGCGTGTTTTGGACTCTTAGTCTAAATCAGTCTGCACGGTCACCGCACAATCGGCAGCTGGGGAACTCGAGCAATCGGCAATGATTGGCAGGCTCACCGATCTCTCCAAGACAGTGTCCCCTGAAGCGAAGCGGGATTAATAAGCTTTATGTTCAACGTTGGCATCAGATTGAATAGTAAGTGTCTTTGAATCGTTTGTCAGTTACATAATGGGAGCGCTGTACTACCCACTTGCTTATGCGACATCCCTAGATCCGGGTCGCCCGGCGCTATCACGGTGCTACAGGCTTATAAAGCGCGGTGCTGTATGTGTGCTCGGTATGACGCTTTATCTAGCCTGAGCCCGAGTGCTCCGAACCCACTCTTACTATACCTCCGTGGGTACTGTACTGTACTCTGCTGGTTATTGTGCTTGGCCTTCCCGGGCTCGCGCGCCTCCGGTGCTTCAGCTATCATGGCTGCTGGAAAAATTACTCCACGGTTGTACTAGTACAAGTGTGATGATACCGATCACTTGGGTGATGGGGAACCTCCGGCGCCGGTACTACCTATCCGACATGGGGTCCTAATAAGCATTTCCCTTGTTGCCATGGGGTTATGGAGGGGTACGGTACCCGATCCGGGAATGTGCCCTCTTCCTAATTCTGCGGATCAAAAACAAAATTAGAGGGTGATCGCTTCTGGACGCCTAGGTTACTTTTGTACACCAAAAAGGAGTAAAAAGAAAAACCCACACCCAAGCGAATCCGTTCACTGCCGGTTGAATGACCACCGTACGGACATACCATACTGGTCCATACATAACACAACTCCAACTGAACGGGAACCCCTGGTGGGGGAGGGAGGGAGGATTTATTTTCACTCATCTGCCTCTCTGTTTCTTGTGTGGGCTACGGGAGTACCCAAGTGGATAAACGGGCTAACTTTCCCCGCTCGACTTCCGAACTTGCTGATGGTCCGGACACTATTTTCTTTTTCTTCTTGTACTCGAGTACGTTGCGGATACAAAACCGTAGGCCAAGGCTCGGCTGCCCGGTTTTAAGTAATTGCGAATAAGTGTTTAAGACAAATCGCTGGTTCCGCTCATGTGGCGCCACGGCCGGCGTGCTTCCTACGGTAAAAACAATTGTCATATCATATCAGGACCCTTCCCGTAAGGGGTGTCCTGGAAATTGGCTTTGGGTACAAGTACCACCCAGGTTTTTTTTTTTTTTTGGTACGCCCGGAATTGAAGGGTCCTCTCTCCGGTGCCGGCTAGTTGATCCCGGCGACTGGGAATGTTACCGAGTGATTACCCGTGATTACCCGTGATTTTCGGAGAGGACTTTTCCGACAGGGATTTCCCTCGGGTATTTACCGAGAACTGTATGTGAGCCAAGTAGGGCCAAGTCAGGAGCGCTGATTGAGGCGAGCATCAGAGAACCATGCTGTCATGTCGCGCGCAGGAAGGGGGGACCAAGTTGCGTGAGACCTGGTGGGGATGTGATAATTCATGGATCTTCAACCGCTTGCGTAAGCTTTTCTCTCCCTGCCATAACATCGCTTACACCTTATCTCACTTATCTCATTAACGGTCAAAACTCTGGCGCTCCCTGTATTTTCGAATGGCATAACGACATACTATATCATCACGATGTACTTAGTCACAAGCACCTTTTTAGACCCGGTGGTTTCGATATGAGAAACACGATCCACCACAGCAACTCTTGTTACAGTACCGAAAAACACGCCGGTAGGACCTGCCCCATGTACAATTGTTACTTACACACCCCAGGGGGTACCATTTGAAAGCTAGGTTCACCAGTTCGAGATCAGATATGTTTGAAAGTTTTTTTTTTTTTTTGACTTGGGTTTTTTTGTCTACCATGGGGTTATTCCTGCATGCAGGGATTTTGCGGTACAGTACTGTACCCAAGGAACTGTTTGCTTGCTTGCCATCCAAAGCACAATACCCCACAGTGCACTTGAAATTATTCCACAGATTTAACAGGTAAAAGAGAAAAAATAATAATATTAAATTCTTATATGAGAAGAAGAAGAATGCAGGGATCGTCCAGAGACCTGGTACTTGTACTTATAGTGCTGCGGTCATTATATACGAAGTATGGTGGGGGACTCCTTAAACCGGACCAGTGCGACATTTGAATTTAATGACTAATAGAAAAATATTGGCCAAGAGAAAATGATCCAGGAGCGCACAAGGGGTATACAGGTGGAGAGAAAGAGAAAGGAAATTAAGCCATTGACAGATGTGTATACTAAACAGAAAGGTGTTTGTGGGAGAGGGGAGGAGGAATGATAAATGCTCTAAAGTAGTCTAAATAGAGTAGAGGTTAGACCGTTACCACTTCATCTTATCCTCAATGCGTCGGTGACTTTTGTACACGGCGCTCTTGAACTGGAGAGTTCCGTACTGTAGTCCACCATCATATGCCTCAATAGCCCTAACGCATGCCAGATAATAGCGGTGAATAGAGGCTGAAGATACTGAATCTAAAGCCTCTGGAATCGTTTCCCTTAAACCACTTAGACTATACTGGCAGTTTTCTCGTGCGTAATATTTGGCAGCACACCAAAACCTCTCAATGAAGTTTAGTTCGCAATGGAACTTAGGATAGAAGATGACTTCTTGTCCAGCTCCTTCGAGTTCCTCCTGGAGGCGTCCCTTCTGCTCACGGAAGTCTCTCTCAGCCCTCAGAACAACCCTTGCACAGCATCCTTCAATCATGGTCGGATCGCAGGTAGATTTATCGTTCCGCTTAGGGCATTCAAAAAGAAAGGGAAAGCCATCAGATCGCTGCTGCCGCCAAAGACCTCTCTCCCGTAGTACTTGCTCTACTCCTTTTGCCTTGCCCTGAACAAGGTAGTTGTAATGGTTTAAAGGAAAAACCATACTCTGCGGCCGCTGCTTTGAATGGATAAAGCCTTCCCGCATGAGAGGCTGCTTTCCGCCTGGGTTGCGGTTCATACGTGAAACCACAAGAGCATCCGGAGCATAGCAGCTGTGATTGGCAGCATTGTCAAAAGCGAATAACCCTTGGCAGCCAGGAAAGGCCCAACGAAAAATAGGTAATGCTACCTTCATTGCATGCTCAACCATCTTATCCCCAGTCCAGTAGTTGTCCTTACCATATTCGAGATACTCAATAGCATCTCGAATTGGTTTACCATCCTGCATAGGCCACATTGGATCCTCTAGTAAGCGAGAGTCTGAAATTGTTAGGCGGCAGCCAATTCTAAGTCAGGCGAATTGTAACTGGGGCCAATTAAGTTTCTCGGAGAGTGGTCAAGAAAGCTTGTAACAAAAGTAGGTATCAAAGTATAACGAATATATTGATAAGATCTCTTCTCCGTTCGCTGATGATTCTGAAAGCTAAGGAGGCACCTCGATATTTATATTCCGCGTCTGGGTGGTCGCGGGCTACATCTATCTTATACCAAATAATGTACCCTTTCCATTTTCCTACCCTTACTTCCGTAATGGGCATCCGTTTGACCCTGATAAACTTTGTGTCTTGCTCGGACTACGGTCTCCATGCGTTGTCATGTTTCCGTGAGGGCGTTTTTGAAACCTCTCCGGCGAAAACGCATGATTCCTTCGTCTCGGAGGTTTAAGTACAAACGAGTGGTCTCGCTTCGAGCCAACTCGCTGTCCTCCTAACTCTGACTGGAGTGATCAGCTCCGTCGAGAGACTTATCAATGCACCGTTGACTTCGCAACTTGACTGCATCAACATTGAGGACTTTCCACCACGATCGGACTAGTCAACGTCGTGGGAAAGTCCCTCAACCATAGATAGGCCTCCGGTTGGCGCTATACTATGTGAGCGTTAGACTGGGCCCCGTGCCTCGTCCATACGGGCACGTCCCGATAACTCATTGGACTGTTGCTGAT